TTTAAATTCCTTTATCCCCAATGAAGTACGTTTTCAGAGAAGTGAGTCTTGTCAAAACCCAATATTTTACTAAATGACACGACAAAAGAATGCCAAGTTTAGAAAACGCAATCAGCTGGAAGATTCACTTCGCACAGCTTTGACGATACGCCTATTTCGCAATCAGATTTCATAGCAGCACAAACATCCAGTGAGAACTTTCGAGCTTCATGAACATATAACCAACTGCCTCGTATCTGTGAGTAACAAGGGAAAGCTGAACGGAGCAAAGCACTGACATTATCACGCGTGCGTCACCGTCACTCATCAAACTGTTGCTGGTTTCTTGCCCCAATCAGCTAAGCATTCGCGCTACACAAAAGCCCAACAATAATGCGGTCCTGTGATTTCAAACCCAGGTTTTTTGTAATTGACTCCGGCGCACCAAGCGGCCACCTGAGACTAAAACTTCAAGGCTTGGACTTAGAGCTCCAGGAACCACGCAAGTTCTCGATCCCCTCCTTATGCAACAGCATTTACTGCACAGAGAAACAGCATGTTTTGGTTAAATGACATCCTAGGTTCTCAAGAAACTAGATTTTGCAACTTCAAACGAATGACAAGGATGAAGAATCATTGGAATATGGGCCAGAGTACAAAATATGGCCGGTCCACTACATGAATAAATGTTCGGCTTTACAACAGTGCTGGGAAGACTGCCACCATAGCCTTCTCTCTCAAGCAAAACTTGGTGCGTAATCCTGCCCTCGTTCCATCAAGGAGAGCAGATAATTCCGTAGCACGCGCTAAAATCCGTTGACGGTTTGCCACATTGTGCTACTTCCGAAATTGCGCATCGTCATTTATATGTGTGGCGTACATCGCAACATAGAATAATAAGCTTTCTAGACGTCTACCAGCACCGATACTTGTATCGTACGGGTGCCAATACAGCTTCTATCTCGTCTGAATGAGGTCAGTAGCTAATTACAGTATTCCGTACACAAAACACACAAAATGAGTTCTGTGTTCACAGCTGCAGTAGAATAAGCTTTGTACATAACACTTTGAGCATAGCAATCACGTCATTTGGATAGTTAGCGCACGGCTGACATGATAAACCACAGAGTGTGTATTGAAACTTGTCGACCTGCTTGTACATAGAAACGATTACTTCTGCACAGGTCTACTCATCTGGTAGAATTTGATCGAGCGTAGGTAGACAAAGGCTACACCATTCTAAGTGGGGTGGAAGCAACTATAAATAGCAAATGAGATGAACCTGCTAGAACAGTGCGACTGATGTACACAAACCCAAGCTCGGATAAGTCAAATAAATGACGTTTTGGGATGGCTAATACATTAGACTTCTTGGGCTAACTTCACTTTCCGGGTCGGTCAACTCGGGGGCAAATATTTGTGGAGCCTCTCAACGTGCTTCTTCCATCGTCCTCACGTGCTACTTGAACACCAAAATGTACGCAGTTGGAGAAATGGACTCATTCGCAGATAATTTTGGTGTTGACGGAGGACTCGACTACAGCCCTCGTTTATGATATTTCTCGACTGAAGGTGCTGCACGAAAACCACTAAATTCGGGATATTGTGGTACATTTTCTTGTCACAACACACTACAGGTTGAAATCACTGCATACAGTTCCCGGCCGAATGATGTGCAAGCATTGACAAATTTAGCTGACTAGGGACAGCACTGTGAACGCGCTGAGGATAGGATCGGTAAACGTATAGAGAACTTCGGTGATGCTGCTTGGAGATATGGGTAACTTTACTAGTCGTTAAAAAAACTATTCAGAGACTGTCATTATTTGATTGGGAAGGGATACTGAAACCGATGACCTCCAGGCTAATATATGAACACTACCATCCGGTGAAATGAAGCGAATCAGTAGTGTGATCGGCATGCGCTTACACAGGATGGAGCGCCACTCATTCTTCAACCATGAGATTCGCGTCTTGACCAAAAGGCAATTTTCAACTACTAGCTTGTACATCGGGGGTACGAAATTCGCGAGATATGCCTTGTTGATGAGTTCCAACGAGGATACAACAGCGGTACAACACAGACTGATTTCATTCATTGGACAAGATCTAGATGGGAGTTTCGAAATCTTCTCACGCTGTCATCAAACTATGAGTAACTCGCAGAAGACGTGGCGTAGCGAATAAGGCTAGCTGCTCAGAAAGGGGAGCATATTGCAAGTAAGATGGGTCTTCCATATGAATGGTAACTCGATGAGCCAACCAACGCCAGGTTACGTGATGTAGATATCCGAGTGCAGCTAACTGCACTGCTGATCAACCTCTAATGGCTGCATGTAATGAAGTTCAATTGCTAACCGTTTTCAAAGTGCAGTCCGCATTTAGATAAGTTAGTTACCATCAGGCCAACAGCAACCGTGCTTAGGCTGCCCATGGTCGTTTTCGTGTTTGAGTGCCTCAACGTATTTGCAGTAGGGACTAATGACGAAATAAATTCATCAGCGAAAGTGGATGACATAACTACTGCGATGACCCTAATGGAAGTAATCCAATACGATCACCTGCATGAAGACATTTCGAGAAATTTACTTTTTGGATGAAGTACAATAAACTGGAGAACGTCAAAAGACTGACAGCCAGATAACAACTCTTTACACAAAACACCATCCTAGTTCATCCTTGGTTTCCCCTCAGTCCACTATGTACTCGTCCAGTCCAGTAAGGCGGTCTTTCTAAACCGGGGCAACCATAAACATTTTTGCTTCAATGAATATATCTAACATGTAATGAAGCAGCATTTTCTATAGGTTACAAGTGACCGTATCAACCGTTGGATAAGGAAATGTGTCTGGCGCATTGCTAATGTCTCATGTGGACAGCGAGCAGATGGTAGTGTAACGCATTTGAAACTCGAATGTATCTGCTTGCCCGTTTCTCATATGACCTTATACGTGCCCCTCCCTTTCTCTCTTCCCCCACTGCAGGTACCACGGACGAATCACCACGGGCCCTGGGCAGGGAAGAGTACCCCGCTTGTACACCCCCTTCCTTCCGGTTTCGGTTCGGGTTAATACACGTGCGTTGTTGCTACACTCCGATCTTCTTCCCTGTACCACCCGACCTGTGCGCATGTGTGCTGTGTATACTGTGTGGATTCATTAATACCAGCCCGTATATCTGCATATTTCAGAACTGACGTGTGCCGTCGCTACATCCTGTCGAACGTCGAATACCGCTGACTTCCTGACATCCCACGCTACATTGGTGACAGAGGTGGGATCAAGTCAATTTTGCGTTCGATCTTCCTGCGAAGCATACCGGAACACGTGCGACGAAATTGCCAGAGAATCGGTTGGTATTTCAAAGCTGATTATGTCCCACATCCAGCCACCTCTGGAAGAACCAGAGACGTTTCATCTGGGCGACGATTTCACGCCCTGGTCGGGTCGGATGAAGGCTTTCCTTACACGGATACATCCGCAATATCACGAGTATTTTATCCTGTCCCATCTGGATGACCCTGCCGCCCGTCGTGTACTCTATTCAGGCGTTTCGCTGTCTGCACCACCGGACATCCTCTGGAATGACTTGTCCTTCCTGTTCGATACACGACCGCCGAGTGATGTCCCTCACTCCTCACCCAACATAACCCCCCTTTCCAACACTTCGACGTTTCACTGTCATTCTCCGGTCCAAAATTTTTCTCCCACCACTTCCGCACTTGATGTTATGTGTCCAGACTTGGGTACGATAACTTCAACGAAACCTGTCGTGCAATCTGATCACAAACTTGGTTTCACACAGGCGGCTTATTCAACTCCCGATGATGAAGTCGATAATAACGAAAAGCCTCCAGGGGAGACGGAAGGGGACACAAGATCTCGAACTCTATCCGATGACTTGGAGCAAGTGCATGAAGAAGCCGCCAACGACACAACACAAGTTCCTTTTCTTTGTGGTATTGATGTGGACCAGCGGAACCCAGTACTTTACACTGAAGACGATGATAATAATCAAGCTGCAGACAGCAAGCCACAACAAACAAAAGTGGTGGTGGACGCGAACTCCAGTGCGCAGACGAGTATGGACACGATAAACCTGGACCCAGTGGTCAACAAAGCGGACGTTTCTCTAGTCATCTCACCAGCCGGGGACACAGAAGATGCTGTCTATCAAACAGATGCAGTTTCGGTCACCTCGCCGAATTCGACTCTAGTGAAAATCAAGACTTCCGTTGCTACTGCCAACACCTCTGCAGACCGGCACCCTGTGGTTGGACAAACCCACCTTAAGGTTGCCAACTCAGGAGGCAACATGAGTGACGTGCTACATCCCATTCTTCCACATGGCCCTGGACCACCCCCTTCAAATGTTACAAGCACTCCTTCTGAGCACTGAGGACAGTGCTCATACTCGGGAGGGGGCAATGTAATGAGAAACGGGCAAGCAGATACATTCGAGTTTCAAATGCGTTACAGTAGGACGTGATTCTTTACTGGCGACCTGTTATACATTCGAGTTTCAAATGCGTTACAGTAGGACGTGATTCTTTACTTCAGTGGCGACCTGTTGGAAATACCATTTTGGCTACCAAAACAGGGGAAATCTATTTTGATCACATATACTGTCACACAGACCAAACATGCTCGAGCGACAGTCAACCTACACGAAACTGAGTGATGGTGAACGTAGTAACAAGCCGTTTTTCGACTGTTTTAGTTGATCAATAGTATGTTCACAGAGCAATGGCTGACTATCCCCTGCGAGCCAAACGATCGTAGACGGTGAAGTGAAAGCACATTTTATTTTAAGGAATCCAGTGTGGAAAGATTTGAGGCATCCTATCAGGTCATAGAATTATTTTGACATAGAGGTCAAACAAGTGCAAGACACATGTTAGAAAAATAGAGCAGCACATACTAGAAAACCATAGTAAAAATGATTGGCAAAAACTGATGCATAGTTGAGAGAGAGATGGGATAAAGTACTGAAAACTATGAAGTCATCAAACAAAAGTACGACTAATCCAGTCGAAATTTGCTCAATTCTTCCACCGTATCTTTCAACGCTGAAGAGGATACTGAATCACCGAGGCGCCTTTTATAAGGAAAGTCAGTGGGATCACTGGGTGGATCGGCTAATGGGTGTCGGTACATTGGCGGGATAGAGTTGAAATCTGTGTAGTGGACTTGAAGCCAATCTACAGCAGATAGACCCAGGTGGTGCACCAACTTCAGCATAGCGATGCAGTCTCCCTCAGCACTGTGTGCGTGTGCATGACCAGAGCCAAAGACGCGTGAGTACACGTCACCCAAACGGAAGGAGACACTAGGTTTTTTCGGACTTGAATGCAACAAAGGAAATACCTTATTATCAGGGCCCGTTCTATCATCCATGGAATCGAAACCAGAATCATTCCCCGGATTACGCGGCAATAGTAGGTGGTTCAATTCAGCAAACAGAGGGAGCGTGTCGGCGCAGATAATGGGCGAATCTTCACAATCCAGAAGACGGAACTCTTCCCCTTTAACTCCACACAGCTGGGCGCGAAGTAAAGGGAAGTCGAAATGATTGCCATTGTGAGCCAAAAAACAGACCGGCGGGTCCAACCGCTTCACGAACAATTGGATCATTTTCACAGCCGTTGAATCGAAATCCTTCTGGTGAAATAAATTAGTCTTGTTCAGTCCTAAAACAAGAAGGAAAAGCCAGTTTAGAATTGAAAGAAAACCTACCGGAAACCCTAGCTGCAACGGCGTTCATGGTTCGATTCGGATAGAAGCATAGATTCAACTTGTTTTGAACTCGAATATGTGTGACTTCGGACTGTTCTACGGAAAAGCGACTTGTTGCTAACATGCACAATTCCGTTATTTCCGGTTTGAACGTGGATGAGGGGAGTCCCGTAGTCTCAAGGTCAACAAAGACCAGGGTTGAAAGAAGGAGCGGCCGCTGAACTGCCTTCTATGATTTGAAGATATTCATTCAACATGAGATAAAGCTTACGGTTGAGGGATGCATTGGAATAATCGGACTGCCACGCAGGGGGCCAAATGAGGGACATAAAAGTGTCGCCGATTCTAAAGGGACTATTGATGTTGCTGGTTATCCATGGCTTGCCACCAATGGTACCGATTATCCTAAGGGCTAAAAGACTGAGAGTAGAAAACAGTACATTAATTCAATCAATTTGATTTTATCAGCAAGGGACAAAGATTCTTCAGAAAAGTTGCGCGGTAAAACCTGAAGAAACAGAAGTCGGTTGCGGAAGGTGCACCATGAGTTAATCGATTTCAGTGGCGGTAAAAGGTGCTCGTTGGGAAAACGTTTTTACTGCCAGTAAACTTCAGCAATATTTCATTGAAAATAACGAGGTGAGGAAATTACGAACCGGAAAAACTTGAGTGCAACGATCCTCGCACGAGCTCCGGTGCCTCTTAGTACGCTCTGGAGCTTTGGAAATGATTACGCTGTGTATGATGTAATGGTCATTCGACGGAGGCTTTCGTGTCAAAGTAAAGAGAAAGCTTTTGAATCTTTACAACTAAAACAGTAAGACGAAACTAACTTTAAGGGCCTATTGGAAACAAAGACACGTCGTACAAATGTAAGCACATCACTCCCGTACTCGACGACCCAAAAAAATGCTCAGTCTCAAGTTAAATTGATCAGACACCCAGCGCACCTCACCAACAGAACCTTAGCACAACAAACATATTTTCCAGTCCACGAACGTAGAATTCAAACTACATACATGGTCGAATATTCCATGAGCACGTAGAAAAACTAATCCCTTCATGATGAATGTGGTTCTGTTGTACCAGGTTAGGTTATGAAGACAGAATGTGATCAGTTTGATACGTTTGCTTCGCGTTTTGTTCTGGACAGAACTCGCCAACACGATGTGGCGCGACGAGCCACCCCGCCTTGGTTAAAGGTTTTAGCGGGATGGTTGCAATATCATGCAGTTACTCACAAATCCATCGCACGAACTGAGCCAACAAATCGGTTCCATGTGGTAAGTTGTTTCCAAGTCGGTAAAATACCTCGCCTTCACTGGAGCCGTTTGGTATGGTACCCCGGAGAATCTTCAGAGAGAGTAGCTCGTGATATATGAAATATTTTCGACCACTTTGAAGACACAGGATATGTTATATCTGCTGATTAGCCGGCCTGTGGTATCTGCTGCTGACCCGCTCCAGCGCCTAGTGTCGGAGAGAAAAAACTCACGGAAGGGAACACAATAGCTATATTCCAAAAAAGTGGTCGCGAGAGCTCGAGTGCATGCGAGTGCGAAAAGTACAACGGCCTCAAGCTTTTTATTGGAAGGACACTGTCTGAACTTGGTCCAATGCTGACGCACGCGGTCTGGCTTTAGTACGAGGCAGCGACGTGCTGCATATTGCGGAGGCGTTGTCTGTCCTTGATCAACGCTGACTCGCGCTGTCTGGGTTTGATGCAAGGCTGTGACGCGCTGCATATTGAGGGGGCGTTGTCTGTCTGGTCAACACCCAGCGGAGCTGAGAGTCTCCGTAGGTTCCGGGCATTCAGTGGTTGCTTTCAGGAAGCTGACCTTCTTGATAGGCTAGATACCAAGAGCACGGAGGACAAGGTAAGTTCCAAGCAATGAGACTAGTAACCATAACTCAGGACATAAGGGACCCTGAATTTATCTCTCAGGGTCACATATTTAGCTGAAATTCTCCTTGACGGCAGACAGAGTTTTGCAAATGTTTGCATTGAACTCTACGTATTTATTGCCGGCATGCGGTCAATTAAGAGAAGTCTAGCCACTGGTTTCTCGTAGTCGTGGGACCATTGAAATGAGAACATCATAAGACATCCTGATGCGCGGCCGCAAAGGCACGGCATGTATGCATGTCGAAGGGTTCCCAACATCTAGTGAAAAGTTTGAGAATGAAACAGAGCGGTGCCTGACTGAGTGTACTTCACTCCAAATATTTCGGGCTAACCATCTTTCAGATCCGCGTGAATAATAACTGTAGAAAGCTCCTGTGGTTGAAGTGGGCAGTGGCTCGGAGAAGTCGGAATGGAAACAAAGATGAGGATCTAACGGTCTCTCATTGGAACTGTCTCGCTGTATACCGGAGAAAATTAACCAAAGCGTTTCTGGTACCTGCAATTTAGACGTTTGCATTACTGATCCCAAGGAATCGTCCACAGTGGTCCGCGTCCAATGCTCTGATGACAGCCATCGTCTACTTCGGTGATTTGGCACGTTATTCGCCAACCATACACCAAAATCATGGACAATAGCACATCAACAGTAGGTTTAAGTGGTTAACTGTCACACAACCAACGAGGAAGAACCCTCAGTAAACAGTGAATAAAAAGGTGTGGCAGATGAGTGCGAAAGAGTTCGAATGTCATTAGTGCGGTACGCCTTCAAGGATGGGGTCCCCGTGAACAATCCCGCCCTGCAATGGTGGCTCATCGATGTCAGAGGTGTTCGTGTTGTCATATTTCATCCAAATTGTGTAAAGGAACACTTAGAGGTGTAGGTAACTCGAAATTCTCATTCAACACCCACTATTTTATCGTATGTTTACTGTGTTCTGAATATAATTAGATACTTCGTGGTTGTACAGCAGTGAAGCGTGAGTGTCAGCACTTATGTTGCTTCTCTGATGACGACGAGTGACAAGGAAGAGAAGGGTACTAGAGCGCGATAATATCAGCAAACTTACAGAGCAAACCTTGCCCATTACAAGCCCAGAAGAAAATGACAGGACTCCAGTTAAACAAGACTAAAAAAAGAAAGCATGATTGCCAGTGGGATCGGTTATTTGCGATGATCTAGAGAATTTCGAATGACGTGAAATCCATCGAAAAGCGCTCAGCTGTAAAGTAGCTGCTTTCATCTCACGTTGTCGAGTCATAACTTGTCTTCCAGGAGCCTTTCACTGATAAGGGTTTCGAGTGGAAAACAACCCCCTATAGGTATACAATGTTTGCAAACGTGTTGTATGTCCGATTCAGCTTAGTCTGACAGGCTTCATCTGCTGACCTGGCAATTCCAACCCGTTATCTAGTACTTACTTACAGACTATCTCATCACAGATGTACTGCAGCAACAAACACCTCTACAACTAATACGCAACAGATGTACCGGTGGTCAAAGGTTTGCAAGCTGAGGCAAAATTTACGTCAGTAGGACTGGGACGGACACTTCGAGTAGCCCTTTGGATAACGAGATTGATTCGTCCCAGCTTTCCGGAAAACGTACTTTTTACCTAATTATTGTTGAGTCATGTTACGGCAGAACCCCACCACACACTTTGAATAATGCTGGTGGAAGCCCATTTGACCCCGCGAGACGATGATGTTTCAAAGCATAGGAGCATACTTTAACGACAGAAACCTACAGTCCAAACTCAGATGTTCGCTCGAGTTGAACAGATGTTGTCAAAGACAAGGATATGACAGTAGACTGCTAACTGATTGGCTGGTGATCCAAACGTGTCAACTGATCAACAATGCGATCCGCTGGGTGTGTGTGCACAGTAGGCAAATCGCAAGCGGTTTACGCCAGAAATGTGACGATGCGTACAAGTCACCGATGCAGTAAACCCGACGGAATAAGACTGGCGGGCGAAAGTAAGACGTTTGCTGCGAATCACCAACCGGTGTAATCATGAAGGCGTGACAATGGGCACCAGCGTTAGTTGCTTTACACAAGGAAAACCCCCAACTTCTTCAACTTTCAAAAAATATCGCAAATCCCCTACATAATTTGCCATAATGTTTTCTGATTGATGTCTAGTTCTGGGCCATGAGAATGGGGAGATAGGCGACTAAACCAGTGACCGGGTGAGTAACAGTAGTATCATTACTAGTATATAGCAGGGTGGAAAAGGAATTGATTATGAATGGAAGAGTAGCTCGATGTAACTCGCTGATGTCTACGTGTTGGTATAGAGTAGATAGGTTGGTTACCGACAGGTTTCGTTATACTGTGGGACCCCAAACTAACACTAACTTGCAGTACTTCGACCGTTTGCATCTAAACACAATTAAAGTCAAGCACGCCTTCAGCTGGTTCGCCGATCGATCACTCAGTTAATACACAAGTCGTATTGGCGAGATGGCTCAGTTATTAGAGCGCGAATTTACTTGCCAGAATGTCCGTGGTTCGAACCCGACCTCTGCCTCTCGACTTCTCCTGTCTAGGCTTGAGCAATTTGGCAGTGTCCCAACCCTCTTGCTCTCTTCATTTGGCACGGCAGCTAGGCATCGAGAGGGTGTTACAGCTGAACGATTAGTCATTATTTTATATTTATTACTTCCAGCAGTTTTCGCATCTTCCTTTTTTGCCTTTCGGGTCCACCAAACTCAGCAATCTGTACGGACACTCAGGTTCAACTGGTTTCGGATGATGCATCGGGTGGAGTTGTGGTGGCGGCCAGGGGGAATCTGTCGCCGAGCCTCCAACAAGCAGATGCTCCTATCAGAGATAAAATGTTTGTATGAAGTTACGGAGATCTGAAAAACATATGAAAAACGGCAGCGGAAAAGTACATGGTCGGAGTCCACGATAGTGTTCCAGAAGGACCGGCAGGCAGTGGTCGACCCTCGTCACAGGTAACTGACAGTGATGCGGTCCATTTGGATTCGGGACTGGTTCGTTGGTGGGCACCACGCTGCCAAGCGATTATCGCTGTTCCGTAAATAGGTACTGAAAAGGAACAGTCTGTGATCGGCACACATCTGAAGCAGGTGATCCCCATCGCCCATGTGTCTCGTGTCCAAACCGAGACGACGACCCCCAATCGGGTCTCAATAGCGCTTCGTCTACCTACCTGGGCGTTCACGTCACCAGCTACCACAATTACATCTGAGCTTTTAGTTAGCTATAAAAGAGCACGTAGATCATAGATAACTCTCTTTCGCAGATTCAGAGCTACAATCTATTGAAGCATAAGCAGACACAATAAAAAGGGTACCGTGAACCTCATTTTCTCTAAATTCTATCACACGTTACCAAACGAACCACACACAGGCGAATATCAACGGGTATCCAATCA